AAAATTTATTGCAAATAAAGTATTGGCATGACTTGCTGAAAAGGTTAAAAAAAAAAAATAAAAAAACAATAAACAAGAATTCTAGCTTATCTTGAGAAAAGAAAAATTTACTTAATACTAGTATAAAGTCTGATACTATTAACTTTTATAGAACTTAATACTTGAGTTAGAATAAGAGTTAATCTAAATATAACAAAATAAATACAAAAAAGAAATGTCTACTTTATAAAGTAAATGCTGAAGGTTTTAATCTTGAATTAAGTCAAAAAACTAAAAAACTAATAGGTAATAACTTTAGAAGTAATAATAATAACTATAAAAACAATTACTTCAATAGAGTACCAAGTAATTTAGAAGTTAGTAAAGCCTAGTAAGGTATAAATAGCTATTAAAAATAAAAAAAAAAATAAAAAATAAAAAAAATAAAAGATAAAAAAAAATAAAAAATAAAAAAAAACAAAAGATAAAAAAAAATTATATAGATAAAATAAGAATTATTAGTTAGTATATAATGAAATAATAAAGCTAAATTTAGTTTTTATTAAGAAAAATAGAAATATTAAAAAAAAATTTTTATTAAGAATATGATAAAATAGGAATAGTCATAACTTTAATATTCAAAGAGTGATATATTATAAAAAAAGAACTGAATTTGAAAAAAAGATAATAATTAGCTAAAAAGTAAGAAAATAATAACTTGTAAAACTAAAAAAGAAGATAATTACCTAAGCAATAATACAAAAATACAAAGAAAAATAATAAAAAACTAACTATTATGACAAGTAAAAAACTTGATTTAAAGAAATTATATCTATAAACTAGAAGAATTAGTACAAAAAAAAATTAAATATTCAAATTTGAAGACAACAATTAAGACTAAGTTTTAGTATTTTGGCACAAAGTAAAACTAGATTAACAACAATATATAGAATTAAAAACCTATATTCAATATTAATAATACCTTTTCTATTAGAGCAAAAACTAATAAAAGACTTTAAAAAGTAAAGTAAGCTCTTTGTAGTAAAACAGATTACTCTATAAAAAAGATAAAAAGAAATATAACTAACTATTAAAAGTTCTGAAAAAAAAATAAACCTAAACTAATATTTATCTTAGTATATAATTACTCTCTTAGAATATATTTCTGAAAAGATATTATGTTCAACAAGATTTGCAATTATTATTACTAGTCTCAGATATATAATGATATATGTGAATATATTAGAATCTGTAAAAATTGTCAAAAGTAATATGATCAAAAGACAAAGAGAAGTTATATTCTATATCTGTTATAGCCTTGTTTTATAGAATAGGCATAGATATAATATCTTTTACTTATAATATTCTAATCTAATAGATATATTGTAATAGCAACTAATTATATAACTAAATAACTTGAAGTATATACAATCTCTAAAGATAATATAGAAGAAATAGCAAAGTTTATCTATAAGAAAATAATATATAGTTACAGATACTTAAGATATTTACTTTTTGATAAAAAATTTTATTTTAGAAATAGATTAATTAATAAACTACTGATAGCTTTAAGTATAAAGTACCAGTATTCAACTTTATATCATCACTAAACCAATAAGCTAGTTGAATATTTTAATAAAATATTATACAGATCTCTAGTATAAATAATCATTAACATAACAGATTAAAACCTTTTTTTCAGCCTATACTATTCATATATAGAACTACAAAGCAAGCTTCTATATAACAAATGCTATTTTATTTAGTATATAAAAAGGAAGCAAGATTACTCATTTACTCAAGTAAGTCAGACAATTTGTTAAATAGAACTCTTATTCAATAGATGTATGAGATTAACTATAATTTGCAAAATATCTGTGACTAAGCCTTGATACAAATCTAGACAAATCAAAGAAGACAAAAAGAAAAACATAACTTGCAGATCAAAACCATATCTGATTTTTATATAGAAGATAAAGTCTTGATATATAAAACTAAAACAATGAATACACATAGCTATAAGTTTAAACAAAAATAGAAGAATCTATACTATGTACATAATATTTATCAAATGCATATATATGCTTCAAGAAATAGATAGCAGGATACTTGTAATATCTATTAACAAGAAATTAATAAAATCATATAATAAAAGAAGTATATAAAGAAAAAGAAAATCTACAAAGCACAAAAAAAAAAAATATAATAAAAATAATAATAATAATAATAAATAAAGAAAACTTAATAAATAATATCTACTGCCAAAGAACTTATTCACGAAGACCTCTTGTTGAAAATGTCCCCTTTCATAATCCCTACCTTATGTCTTATAATTTAAATTAAAACATTACCATCCAATTGTTCTTTACTCATCATCAAGTAAAAAGAGCCAAAAAAAACTAAAAGAAAAACTAATGCTCTTGCTCATGCTTACTACTTTGGAGCCTGATACTACTTAATAACTTCAGATAAAAAAGTTTTTTAATGAAGAAAGTATACTGCCTATTTTGTGAAATCTGCTATCTGAATCTACTATATGTTCGAATCTCTTAGCGTAAAACAACTTTATTATACTAAGTATATAATACTTACCATAGTCTCTACACTGAAAAATGAAGAATTTTATCATCTTGTACAAAATTTGTCTGTAGAACGCACTTTATCTGGAGGGAAAGAAGCTGTAAGGAGCAAAATTACTTATCTTGATACTGCACCTAGTCCAGAAAGTGATTATCGAAATTTTTAAAATTTCGAAAATTTCGAAAATTTAATAAATCATAAAAATTAGACAAATATAAGAAATTTAGAAAATTTAGTAAATTTGCAAATTTTTGTAAATTTGAAAAATTTGAAAGTTTAGAAAATTTGCGAATTTTTGCAAATTTAAGAAAGTTTAGAAATTCATTGTATATGTAAAGAAAATGTATAAAAGTGCTTACCTTTGACCTCAATAAAGAACAGACATTTGGTATTAAAAACTTCGAAATAAATAAAAAGTAGAAGTATCCAAGTCTAAAAATCTTCCTTGTTCATAAATCGTTCTTATTATAAATTTTACCTTTTAAAAATTATTGTTATAAATCGCCTTATTTAAAAATCAAATTTGTTTTGTTCCCTAATAGTTTCTTGTTAAATACCAGTTTAGTAGTTAGAGTAAAAGTACCAAATTGTCATATCACATTCTCTTTTATTGTATTTGAATTGATTAAATAATTGATCAATATCGTAATTGTTAAAATCGACCCACCAGTAAAATTGAAACCTCGTGATATCTAAATCACAACTCAAATTATGATTAAAACATAACACACCAATAATGTGACCAAGTTCCTATAATATTTGAAAGAAGAACAGTATAAATCTCAATATAATTCCAAAACCCAATTTGATAACCAACAACTCACCCAAGTAACTCTAAACTCAGACCAAGTTATTCCTCCCTCTTTTAAGCCTTATCTAAGCTAGAGTTACTTCTTAGTTAGATTTTTGGATTATCCCAGTTCATTTATATAAATTTGTTGAACCTGAACCTCTGTGTAACCAAACTCCTAGACGAGTTTTAATCTAGAACCAATCCATACTTTCACACTATTTTATTGACAAATTCACTAATCATTTATTAGAGTATACTATCGCTATATAAGTGAAATTATGCTAGTAAAGTGGTTGTTTTTTTCAATCTCAGAAATCACTAGTCAAACAATTTTTTTTTCACTTAATTATGCCTTTGTTACTAGTCAATCAATTATAATCTATGTATATAAAATCAATTGGAAGTATCTCATCTAAATAGTCCAAATGCCAATATACTATTGAAATATTTATGAAACTCTGTATAATAGTTCAATTTATGCAGTCTTTATTAAACTATTAAAAGTTGTAGGTAAATTTCATGAAGATGATATTGGGTGAATTGTTTGCCTGTATAATTATATTAATAAGATACTTTATACAAGTTACAAACTTCAAAACAAAAACTATCTCATGTATGTATGTAAAATCTTTGTGAGTCTAACTCTAGGATAGTATCTATTATTATTATCAAGAAAAAAATACAAAAATGAAGCTTATATTTTTAAAATTTTGTGCAGCAGAGTATTAAAAAATTAGTAGGTTTGAAGAATTAAATGCTAGTTTTATCTTTGAATACGGTGAGTCAGTCACTCAAACTTCAAGTCTTCTGTATAAATACTAGGATAACTTATTGAAAGAAGACATAGTGATTCAGCAAAAAGATTTCCAAGACTTCGGCTATTGCTTTTATCATATTACTTCTCTTTATTCATTCTTATCACAAAGGTTCATTGAGTCTGTAACTTTCTTAATCTACTAACTTTGACTTATCCGCAAGTTCTTTCTTTACTCAACAACGATTCAGATTTACTCTTACCAAAGAGTATTAATTTGGTAGCATAACATTATAACAGGTACAAGTTTATTAACTTAGCGAAAATTGAGTTGAAAATATTAGCGAATTTATAGGTCAAAGAAAGGTTTAGGACTTTATTTATGAGCAAAAAGAGTTTATCAGCAATGCAATATCTTTTATTGAAGAGCAAAAATGCCTGCTTATAAAGATGTTGAAACAATGGGTTTGCTGATAAGTTTTTTAATATTTATCCCTTATAAAAGACTTATCACTTCCAAAGTTCCTTTAATACATATAACAAATATAAATAATAAAATTATTAAAAGAAATTAATGTCCTATAATATCTATCCCTCCTAAAAACCCTATAACCTTTATATGATTAATCACTCCTAAATCTCTTTAAGACTTTTTCATTCTTATAAGAGATTTAACCAATATCTCTTTTATAACTATGGGATCTCTATAAAAGGTAAGGATCTACTAACAGTAAAATTAGACTACAGTTAAGTCACATGGGTCCTAGTAAAGACCTTTGGAACCCAAATTCCCCATGTGGCACTCATAAGAAGACATTCATGTGATTAGTTAATCTTTGGTGATCTACTCATGATTGCTCATGTAGTTAACTAATCAAATCGTGCAAAAACTTTTTGGCGGTTTATCATTAGCAAACTTTAAATTTTTGATTTTATTGCCTTTAGAATATAGAAATTAGATAGTATTCATATGTTAGATCCAAAATATAAGTACTAACAAGCAATTTACAAATCACAAATTAGACTACATCGTTTAATATTCAAGACTAGATTGATTATATAGTACAGTTAACACTCAAGATAAATTTTTGTATAGTGAATATTTTGAAATAATGAAACTTTTCGCATCATAATTGTGTCTGAACATGTAATTTGTCTTCTGATAGCTGAATATTTTTATATAGCAAAAATAATTAGGTTAGAATATGGATTTTGCTATATTGAGCTTCAACTATAAATATAATAACAATTCGTATTTCTAAACCATTTAATAAAAACAATTAAGTAATGTATTCGTAATAATTTAATTTAATAAACATCATATATTAAAAATAATAACAAATAAATAAATAAATAATAAAAGATTATTCAATAATGCAATAAGTGGAATTTTTGTAATGCTTCTTCTAATTCAAATGCTGAATATTTTACCATCCCACATTTGTTATCCTTATCATCACCAAGAGAATTATTATCACATTTTTTAACCTATTTCTTAGAAGGTTTTAACTCTTTTAAAGAATCTAGCAAGGATTGAACCTGTTCGTCAACACCTTCTTGTAAAAATGTAAAGCAATATAAACATTTGGATCTGTTGCTAATATAGCAAGACTTGTGATATGTGTGACCACAAGCTAAAGCTATAACTATATCTGTATTATTAGGTAAAAGAGAAAAAAAACAGTTAGCAATATCATAATAATGAAAAAGATCAGATTTGTGCGAAGTACTAAAACCTAAGTGAAGATGACACAATTGTGCCTCTGGCATTTTCATCATGACTAATAAAATAGTATCATAATTAGCCTATTTTTTCACCTTTTTTTTTAGAAAGTGGATCTGAATCAACTTGTAATTGATGTATTAATAGAATCCTATGATGAAATAATCGGACATAAATTTCCAAAAAACACTGCAAGAGAAAACATGCACTTTTCTTTGTTAAAATTGTAATATCATGTGCAGAATATTTATAGGTTGCCCACATCGATGTATGTGCAAAATTCTCTCTAAAACCATTATCATCCAAACATAACTGATTGATATAATGCCTATACTTGATAATTTGCTGTGCTTCTGTATGCTTTTGTGTACTTTGACATAAAAGACTGTGAAGTACAGTATCTCAACAGTCGAATCTAAAAACTTAGGAAGCTCTGCCTTTATTATTTCTAAGATCGGATGGTTGTGTAGTTCCTAGTAAAAGATATCGAAAAGATATACTAATGGTGCCTTTGAATAATTCTTGTGGCTAAACCTAAAAAAAATTGACCAGACATGAAAGCAAAACTCAAAATAAGCATTAAAATTACCAGATCAAAAAAATACAGTATAAACGTCTAAAACAAGAGGAATCATGTTGTTCAAAAGATCCTTAAACACAAGATATTCAGCATCTTTACATAATGATCCAAAATTTGCCTCAACAATTGCAGAAATTTCTTGCCACACACTATGAGAAATTTCTAAGAGAAAGTTAATACGCCATAGCTTAGAGTTTTGTGCAAAAGGTTTTGAATTTTCAAAAACATAATGATACAGTACAAAAAAGAAAGGCTGATATTGAAGAAAGACCAATTCCTAGCTATTTAATGAAATATATAAAGGGCTTATAATAAGAAGAAAAAATAAAATATTATTAGTAATATTCGATGAATCGTGATAACATAAATAACGTGAAATAGCTGTTCAAAGATGAATCTGTCCAGGCCAATCAGCTACAAGAGGAATTGCATATCCTTTATCAAAATATTGCTGTAGAGATAGAACTTCTATAACAATATTAATTGCTTTAAGATATTCTTCCATAGAGTGAAGACCATTTTCTTGCAAATTCACAAGAACAACATCTTTTATCGAACGAACATGCCATTTTTTTTTTAATCTAATATCATAAGAATGCACGGTTAATTCCTCTAATTTTGTATCATCATTGATCGTACGAAATCCCCAACGTTGATTGTGTGAAAAACTATAAATAGTCATAAATCTATCTCTTATATATTTTTTGATCAATTCAGCATCAACTAGTGCAGGATTGTGTAAATTTATTCTTGGAATTGCTAGCTGAGTAGTGATCGGATTTACGAGGATTGTTGCCAAGTGCGCAGCAGCTGATGTTGTAGTAGTATCTAGAACACGTTCCATGTGAATACTGTGATAGTCATCAATATTCAACACCATCGCCTTATTAGCATATTTCTTAAACTCTGAATTGATGATTTCTGCATGTTCTTCAAATGCAGAATTCTTTTGTTGTGTAATTGTACGAGATGTAGTGGTTATACCTAAATCTGCAAGAGTATCTATAGAAACATTAGAAGTACCAGTCGAATCTAAATACATTGCTAAATCCCTTTTAAAATTATTAACAAACTTGTTTTGAACTCCACATAAAAAATAACACAGAAATAGAAGTTGTTTTTTTACTTTTACTCGCGAATCCTTGTTTTTTGACATTGGATTAGACGAAAGATATAATTCTTCAAAAAAATTTTTTAATCTATCATCTTCCCCTTCCATGAATTCCCAGAATTCATCAAATGTGTATATAGTCTGTTCTTTTTTAATATTTTCACAAATATACAAAATTTTTGTCATCACTCCTATCGCTTTAGAAAAGACAAATGATCGGTATTTTCATCAGCCTCGTCAATTTCTGATTGCTGCATACAGTTAATACTTTCAGTCTCACTAACACCAGATCTTTCATTTCCAATTACAACAGTCCCAATAGCTTCAGATGGTCCACTTTCAACTTCAGATCGCTCTGTAGCTTGAACATGTTGTTGAAATTTAATGGAACTTTTTGTTACAATTCCATTGTAACAATTTAAACAAATCGTATCCCCTATTTTGATATAAGAAGGTAAAGTATTGTTAGCTTTTCCTTTTGTAATAACATTTTTAGTCACCGTTTTCCAGTGGGTTGACTTTTTTTCGCATATAGTAATTACACATGGTCCTGTAATAGTATTAGGTAATGGCATTTTTGTCTTCTAAGTAAAGTAAGTGAGGAGGCAGATTCTTTTCGGATTCTTTTGCACAGTGAATATTAACGTTCTTTTAATGCTAAGAATGGCTTTGACGGTGATTTTTTTTTTTGGTGAAACGTTACGTTCTCAAAAAGTACTTTAAAGTGCATAAATAAGTTACCCGGGCAATTGATTGACATCAGCCAATCAGACGAAAGTCCTCCTATGAATGTGGCACTAGAATTGTGTGTAGTGATGCAAACGGCTGGCTCCAGCTCAGCTACGGCTCGCTATAATGAAGCTGAGCTGATTTTTAGCTGAGCCGA